TGAAATGACACGTGGATGAGAATGTTTTTTATTTTGAAACTTTTTACTCTGGAGTGTTCTGTACCTTGCAGAGCTGTTCCAGCCGTAGTGCACAGGGTCCCCTTGCCTTAGTTTCTCCTGGTGTTAACATCTTACGTCACCATGATACGAGGATTAGAAACGAGTAGCAGTGGTGCTGATTCATGGGCCCGTCTTACTCAAATTGAGTCAGTTTCCCCACTGATGTCCTTCTCTGTCCAGGGCCCTACACCGCAGGTCCTTTCCGGCTCTGATGGTTCCTCGGTCTGTGTGTGTCCTTCAGGATCGTGACACTTTGGAAGAGTACTGCCCGTTATCTCATAGGATATCCCTAGATTTGGGTTTGTCTGATGGTGTTTTTATGATGAGGTTGAGATGCGTCTTTAGCAAGAAAAGCAGGGAAGGGAGGCCATGCCCTCCCACTCCACCGGGATTGCAGGGTGTTGACCTGTCTCACTCCTGGTGACAGTGACTGTGGACATTTGGTCAGGAGGTATCTGGCACTTCACAGCAAACAACTGTTTTTCTCTTTGACATCAATGTGTGTCCTGTGGGGGATACTGTGAGATTGTGCGAATGTTCTCAAGGACGTTTAAACAACATCCACAGTTTCTCCCTGTCACAGCAGCAACTGTACTTGCCCGATGGTGACTGTTTGCACCATTAATTGTAATTCTGCTGTGAAGGAGAGGTCTTTTGTCCCCCATTTATTTGTAAGTCAGCTCAGTGTGGACTAACGGATGCTTATTTTATTCGCCGACTGTAATCTTACAGTCCATTACCATCATCCTTTTGTTGCTCAGACGGTCCTAGATTTTGCCTTTGGGGGTGCCTTCCAGTTGGAGCCTGTGTACTCTTGGAGACCCCATCCTTGGGGCCCTTCCTCCCTCGCTGGCACCATCTTTGTGTTCTCCAGCAGCCCTGGAAACAGCATTTACACACCAAGGTCTGGGTGTGGGGAGGGTGACCGGAGTGGCCCGTTCTGGGACAGTTGTCCTCCCTGTGCGGGTGTGCTCGTTGCTGCTGGTGTGTCGTGGCCTCTGCTGCCCGCCCCCCCTCCAGTCCGTACTTGTTCCGGCACCCGGTCTGTGAATCAGGGAGAATCTCACATCCATTTCCAGCGCAGCACCCCCTGGGTGCCGCCGGGCCTCCCCCTTCCCCTTCGGTAGCTGCTTCCTCCTGACTCGGGACCCACAAGCTACTTATTTCCCTGATCCGAGTAGCTGCCGAAAGCAGTTTCAGAAGCGCTAACGATTCTGCTGCAGTAATTATATGCGGTGCTCTCTGAGGCTGACTTGACAACCACAGTACCAATTTCTGAAGTCACTTAGGTTAGTTCTTGTCTTTTGTGGTGCTTATGTTGTTCATAATATAGCTGTGTGCATCTGTTACGGTTTCTGTCTCATTGAACGCTCCCCGCACCCCCCACAGGCACTCCTAGTTATTCGGTTGTGCGAGAAAGAACTGTGGTTCTGAGAGTCGTATATACAAAAGGGCATACTCAGAAATGTCATATTCCCCTCAGCTCTGCTCCCCTGTCCCCAATCCCCCCTCCCTCTCTTTCTCTTGTGTTCCCACATACCCATTATGGGTTGAGTTGTTGCCTCCCAAAAAGATGTTGAAATCCTGACCTCCATGACCTGTCATTGTGCCCTTATTTGGAAATAGGGTCTTTGCAGCTGATCAAGTTAAGATGAGGCTGTTGGGGTGAGCCCTGGTCCAGCATGACCGTGTCTTTATAAAACGGTGGAATTTGGACACAGAGTCTCACGTGCAAGAGGGAGGACACCATGTACAAGCCAAGGGACACCTGAGGCTATGGAATCGAGGAGAGGGGCCCGGGACAGATCCTTCCTTGCAGTCTCAGAAGGAACCACCCCTGCCAACACTCTGATTTTGGACTTCTAGCCTCCAGAACTTGAGATGGAAAATTCCTGTGGTTTCAGCTGCCCAGTCTGTGGTGCTTGGCCACAGCAAGCCCAGGAAACAGCACACACCTCTTCTAGGTGTTCGGTTTCTTGTGGTTTGAATTGTGTGCCCCCAAAAGATACGTCCAGGTGTTAACCCCGGGTACCTGTGAATGTGACCTTATCTGGAAATAGGGTCTTTGCAGATGCAAATAAAGATGAGGATGTACTGAATTAGAGGGAGCTCCAAATCCAATGTCACTGGTGTGTCTGACAGGGAAATCGGGACACGGGAGACACACATGGGGAGTGAAAACAGAGCTCGGAGCCAGGCAGCTGTGAATCAAGGAACGCCAGGACTGCTGACAGCACCCCAAGACAGCAGAGGTGTGGACAGACCTCCTCAGAGCCTCTGGGAGGAACCAGCCCTGCTGACACCTTGATTTTGGACTTCTGGCCTCCAGAACTATGAGGGGATGGGTTTCTGCTGTTGTTAGCCGCCCAGCGTGTGCTGCTTCGTTCCAGCAGGCCTATGAAATGATCTCACAGGTTTCTGGTTCATCCTGCCTGTTTCTTGTGCACAGAGCAGTGAAACGTGCATATCTTTCTGCATCGTCTCCTTTCATCCATGAAGGAGGGTAACGTGGGTAGATAATTCTTTGGCATTACAGAGCATTATTTTTTAACAGTACAAGACTAGAAACAGTTTAAACATCCATCGAGTGCTAAATACTTACCCATTACAGTGGAATAGTACTTGTTCGTTAAAAAGAATGAGCAGCTCTGTCTCCTGACATGAAATAATCTGAGATGTGTTCTTTTTTTATCTAAAAAAATTTTTAAGATTTTATTTGAGAAAGAGAGAGAGAGAAAGCCCGAGAGAGGGGAAGGTCAGAGGGAGAAGCAGACTCCCCGTTGAGCAGGAATCCCGATGCCGGACTCTATCCTGGGACTGCAGGATCATGTCCTGAGCTGAAGGCAGACGTTTAACTGACTGAGCCACCCAGGTGCCCTTATTTAAGTTTTTATTTTAATTTTTAAGCTGTGTGGATAAAGTGAACAGCGTAGTTAGACCCAGATAATTAAATATTTAGACTGTTTGGAAATTGAATATTTAGGTTTTTTTTTTTTTTTTTTTAAAGATTTTATTTATTTATTTGAGAGAGAATGAGATAGAGAGCATGAGAGTGGGGAGGGTCAGAGGGAGAAGCAG